GACTCGACTCGACTCGAAAAAAATGAGTCGAATAGAGTTGGTCTTTAAACTCGACTCGACTCGACTCATTCGGAACTTTAGCTACTAGCTCGTCCACTGTTACTAGAATTGAGACTACACTCTTCTGCTTGGTCCACGGTGAACCCTCAAGTTCTTTTTTCTCAATTACGGTAGAAAATCATGAGAATGTTGCTGGACTTAGGAAGTTAATTAAGGAAGAGAGCGAGCCCTATCTTGATAATTTTGCACTGTGACAACTTAAACTATGGGTAGTCGATATACCTTTCAACTCGCTATACCTCGGTGACTCTAGCGTAAACATTGCGAATATATTACAGGGACGGGAGTTTCTTCCTCCTAACAAAGTTGAAAACATTTTTACCACACAACTCAACGAAAATAATATTCATATAATTGTTGAGTTGCCTACCTCTCATGCTCCTGATTGTAAGTGGAAGGAATAATCTTACGGATAATTATCTTTAGTAGAGAAGTTGAAATTTCGATAATTTTTTACTAGCTTGTGCTCACTATTCAATGTGCTTGTTGCCATTTATATTTTAGCTGGAAGTGATAACGAAATTCTTGTAAGGCTCGAAAATAAAGTTGATAGTATTGATAAGGACGTTAAAGACATTAAGAATGTGCAATAGCAATTCGAACAACAAATATCAAGCGTAAGCGCTAGCGACTGGGACAAGATTCAAGCGTTTCACGGTCTTGATAATATCGAAACAATAAACCTTGCCATCAAACATCTTGGTTTAAATGTCAATGATATAGTGAATGTTAATGCTTTCGGTTGGGACGAGAGAAATGAAAGAGCACAAAATGATAGATACATACCTTATCTTAATCAAATTCTCTGAACTGACACTTATCGGACACTCGCGGTTTTTGATCTAACTAGCAACGCAGATTTTCTTACGACAGATGCTGGTATATACTTACCACTGAGACTAGCTAGTACAACAAATGCAGTTGTAGTGGATAGGTTTTTCGTCGCGGCCATATTTCCAAAGTGTCATATACGAATTGTTTTTGAATTAAAAAAGAGGGTCGAAAACAAAGATAGATATCAAGCTTTAGCAGAATTAACCAGGTCAGATTTAAGATCTAATCATGCTGTTTTGACAGTATTAACTGACCTGAACGATACATGGGTATTCTTCTGGTTTGAACAAAAAAATGTTAAGACGCTCACCTTACCAAGAAATACTGCTGTAGCATTGATAAACAACAATATGAAATTGATGAATCAAGAAAATATTGCTAAAGAAAACAACCAAAGTGAAGAAGGAGCAAGTACTTAAGGACAAGGGCCCTTTCCGAAAAGGCAGAAGCTTAAACACATTGTGACATCCAATATAAGTTCCGATATTGCTCCTATGAAAGATTTTTTTAATACAATGACCGAGGAAGAAATATTTAGATATAAAACAAAGCGTGTTTTAACTCAATTTTTTAGTAAACCAATTTTTAGTGAATTGAATAATCATCAAAGAACATTATCCTTGCAAGCTAACACTGAAAAAAAGAATAGATTATAGAATTAATCATGTATTAACTAGGGTAATTTTTTAATTTTTTAAAAATAAAATGACATGCAATTATATTTTTTATCTGCAATATTGAGCGATTTCCGAGTCAAAATGCTCTGATGAAGCTTTGCGAAAAAAGACAGAGAGATCCGAAAAGGTTTATAAGCTTTTTAATACCATAGGTAAAGAAAAAATAGCCAGGATTAGATCTATCCCTCATCATTCATCTTAAATCTAACTGCAGATGAAATCAAATATGTAATGGCTGGAATTTTAACGCATAAGGTTTGACGAGCTCAGACAAGCTTGTCCAGCCTCGGCTATCATTTTTAGGAGAATATGGTAACTTTGGTCCTTCTGGGACCCTTTAGCTAAAACGATTTAATAAAGTTCTGCCCCAACAATTCAGGGCTTATATTTTATTTACTTTGCGAATGTGTATGAGTATGTGTGATACATTTGGAATATGCAATAATAATTTCGTAAAATATGTGAAGTACTGCGCTATAAATAGTGCTCCGAAAATCGAGCTGAGATATAGTAATCCTGCAAGTCAGCCGTCTTTTTATCACTCCTATAGTGCATGGCGAGCTGGATATTCGGAGCACTAGCTATAAATTAACACTTGACATACTGTATTACATCACATGATTCATTCTTCTGCTGACGAGCTCGGACAAGCTTGTCCAGACTCTACCATCAAAAAAAATCTAGTCATATGCACAGTTATTTCGGGAGATAAATTTAACCGGATGCTGATCCAGCTTCTGTTTAATTTTGACGACTCTACCATCAGAAAAATAATATATTTCATTTTATTCCTAATCATTTTTCCGAATTTCCGTTATGCTGGCTAAAGAAAAAATTCGAAATCTGATTGGCTGATCATCTCCTGATCTATCGAAACTCGCCAGCTCCTACAGAGGCCTACAGTAATTTACCGGATTTTTGTTACGTGAATTAGTAGATCGGTATTACAATCGCCGATTACCCC